GAGGCGATGCTATTAGAGGACGAATAGATGGGAGCGCGAGGGAGGAATGTCACCGTAGGGGAGTCAGAAAGAACACAGGACACACACATTGCCATTACTTCAGAGATTTTAGAGGCAGTTCTGCAATCATTTCTAACAAAATAAAGCTAGTGAACTCCGAAGGACCTTCCAACGGAACCATCTCTCCCTCCCTCTCACCTATCCATCACCTCCCCTGTTTCTCCCCCCGCCCCAAAAAAGGCGCTAGCCTCACTGCGCAGGCGCCTGCTGTACTTCGGAGGCCTCCAGCAGAAAGCGCTAGTAATTCCGAGGCGATCACTACTCTAGCCTCCAGGCTTCCGTTTCTCTACTGCTCCAGCGGGAACTTGGAGACGGGCGGAGGCGGGTCTTCCGGGACGAGGGCGCGCGGATGAGGAAGGTCCGGTCCAGGTAAGGTTGTCCGTGACTATCCTGGCGTTTGCAGCGAGATAGGGGCGGTGGCTGTAGTGGTCTAATGGGATCTCCAGCCTTGTAGAGTCGCCAAGAGTAGGCCGATTTCATTTCATTAGTGACCAGCTCGGGGTTTCAAGTGTTGACACGGACACCTCGGCCTTTTCCTGCGTCGTTGGGGAATTGACCAACGAAGGGTGCCGGCGCTTGGGCATTTCCTCTCGGCCTCCTTCACTCTCTTCCAGACCAGTTAGCAGTACGAGGCCCAGTTTCTCAGCTCACCAGACGGCCTTCTGCCCCGTAGCCCTGTGTGGGGGATGCAGGTTAATTTTGTTACCGGCTTAAGAAAAATAACAATAAAGAGATATTTAAGGAAAGTATTCGCGTGATGTGCTCCCGACTCTAACGTCGGTGGACTGAACACTGCAGCTCTCATCGAGCAAGTGTGGTCGAGTCAGGTGAAGGGGGCTGAAGATTTGTTCTTCTAAACCTGATAAAGCTAACGCAGATTCACTGCCGTTCATGCCTCTGCAACTCGGTAAAACAGTCGATACCGGACTTTAACAAATAAACATTCTGTTTAGATTGCTTTTATGTTTCTGTTGTTTCTACGACAACCCGTGTGTGTACAGTGTGTGAGCTCCTGAGTCCTTTAGATTATTAGGACAGGCGCAGTGCCATGACTTTGCCTATTAGGCCCAAAACGCAGGTAGGATGACTGGCCTTGTGTAGTAGATTAGAGACCCCGGCAGAGAATGAGTACCATTACAAAATGCCCAAGCGCCGGCGTCCTTCGTTGGTCAATTCCCCAACGACGCAGGAAAAGGCCGGGGTGTCCGTGTCCACACGTGAAACCCCATTAAAAGACAGAGGCAGCATTCCAACTGCTCTTATGCTCTGAGGTCTCTGCTAACCAGTAGTTTTGAGAAACCGGGGAATGCTCTCTCCCCAACAGAATTTACACACACACAAGAGATGCCCTTTTCTGCATGCAGATTTACAGTTTCACGGGCTTCAAAACGCTGAAGCATGTCCTGATTAAGAACTCCTGCACTTTCTCTTCACCTTTCAAAGAGAAAAGGCAAACCTAATCCAAAACCAATTATTGAAATAAGCCTGACCTTTTAATGCATCAGACCTATGAAAAAGGTCATAGGAACTTGTCCTTTTACGTCTAAGTAAAAATACAGGAATTTTCTTCTCATGAGCTTAATTTGTTTTACTCGGCGCATTTGAGTAATTTGTTTTTGCTTAGCATTTTTGACTCCAGCTAGTTTTTCTTTAGTTCACATTTAAAGAAAGGTGACATTTTAAAGTGACTGTTTTGTACTCTGTAGAATGGTTTCAAGTGAATCAAATTGAATTGACATGTAAACTAATTGCCTCCTACTTTGATGTCATTAACAAGGTCATCATATTCTTCAGTCTGTCTTTTAAGATGAAATTGAAAGATTCTGTAAGGAAGTATATCAGGGTTCTGAAAAGTCCTAAGTAAGGCTTTTGAATTTTTTTTTAACTTGTAAAAAGTTGCAATTTGTTAGTCTTAGGAACAATACTTGTGGACAGCAAACCCTTTTAGCCTATGTAAAGAAAAAGGAAACCTCCTGTGTCGTTTTTCATGAGAGACATATGTGTCTGCTCTGGAAAGAAACTACAAAGTGGTGTTGTTGGTAATTATTATAACCTTTTTCAGTTTCCTCCGCTTAGCAAGTGTGTCCTTGTTTCTAGTAAGGGATTCAGATTTGAAAATTTACTCCCTTTCTCCAGCCAAAAATTTTTAGGACTTGGATTTTGTGATATAACCATATTTCAATAGAGTCTAATGTGACCTTATTACTTATGAGTTATGTATCCCAGTAATTCGCTACATTCCAAAAACGGGCATGGAACTAATTTAGCATCATTTGATTGCTTCAGTGACTACTATCCTGGAGAGTGTATTGCTCCTCCTCGCTATCTGTCAGGTGCAAGGTGCTGGTATCCTCCCCTGTGTTTCTCTGGCTGTTAGTCTTTATAAATGAGGAAGACGTTCCAGGGAGATACAGGTTTAACTATATGGAGTATGTATTTTTTTTTACATGATTAAATGAGAACAAGGAATAAACAAGTGTGTCCGTATAAAACATATGAACACCAGACTTACAAATAGGTTTAGGTTTTTTCTTTTTCTTTTTTTTTTTCCTTTTTTGCGTTGGCGTCTCACTCCATCGCCCAGGCTGGAGTGCAGTGGCATGCTCATGGCCACCCCAGCGCGACCTGCTGGGCTCTGGCAATCCTTCCGCCTCAGCCTTCCAAGTAGCTGGAACTACAGGCACATACTATCACACCTAGCTAATTTTTTTTTTTTTTTTTTTTTTTTTTTATTGTAAAGATGAGGTCTCATCAAGTTGCCCGGGCCGGTCTCGAACCCGCATCCTCAGGCAATCCACTCACCTCAGCCTCCCAAAGTGCTGGGATTACAGGCTGAGCCACCGAGCCCGGCCGGTTTTTTCTTTCTTTTTTTTTTTTTTTTAAGGTTATCATTTACTGATTGCCACTGCCTCCCTTCTCACACTAGTCCTAAAAGCTTTGTTTTCAGAAAAGGAAATTCAGAATTAGGTCAAGTTCACAATAATCGAGGTAATAAGTGGCAGAGTCAGTAGTCAAGCCTAGGTCCCATGACTTTATGTTTGCTCTCCATTTAAAAATAAAGTGATTTGAAATTCAGAACATGCTTTTCTGAAAACAGTGTAACAAAATGGCAGTCCCCAGACCAGCTTACAAATAACTATCTGGGGAAATACTGTGCAACTGCAATAGAAATCTATTCTGATGCCATAATGATAACTAAGCAAAATAGCAAAATTGATGATGAAGAAACCATTTGTTGTTGTTTTGTAATCTGAAGTTTGGTAAAAGATAACTTTTAAGGGGGAAGGAAGAGAAAAGATAAAGCATGCAAAGAAACTTTTTGCAGCTTCTAGAAGCAACTTCTAGATATTTACTAGCCTTTTAGAGGTTTATAGCACTTATTTGTTTATACATTAAACTGTCAATGAATTTTTTTTCTCATTGATGAAAATATAACCCTAGTCCTAACGACTTCACCCCCAATCTATCTGCATCCACCTAATGGAGCAAGAATTGTGAGAAAAGTGAATCTGGAAACTCAGGGCTGAGCGGACAAGGAAAAGGGAAGAACGGGGCTTATTGGTGATCCCAAGATGGGGAGGCGGGAGGGTTGGGCCTGTGATCTAACAGGTCTCCTATTTTTGGCCTTCAGGTGGCACTGTTGGCCCAAGATTGCTTGGTTTATGTTTGGAATAATAAAAGGTTGACATTCTGTGGTTGGTCTGAGCTTAGCCTCTGCTCTTTTAATGGATCTCGAAGTGGGCAGTAGAAAACTTGCTTAATTAAACACTGACTTTGTTCTCTTGCAGGAGCTATTTTGAAATTCATTTGGCACCATTCTTGTTTAGGAGGTTTTTTTGGTTGCATTCCTCCCATTGGTTTTTCAAAGTTGGTTTCTTTTTCCCTGTTTGGACATCAGCTCCTTTTCATCCCAGCTGAACTGTCCCCAAGGATAGGATGTGAGTCAGCAGAGAGTCTCATCTCACTACTAACATTTCCAATAAAATGGCATACTCTGCCAACAAAACACCTACATCTGATCTAGCATGGGATGAGACAGTTATTCTACCAGCAACATTCTTGATTTTTATGTATCACCTATGTGGGGTTTTTTTAATGTCTATTAGCTATGATTTGTGCATATCATATAATTCTTTTATCTATTTCAACATTGTGTGCCTCTGAAGAAGTTACTGTTTTCAGCTGATAAGAACTTAATACGTTTGCATTAAGACAGAATATATAAGATGGAAGATAAGACAAGTAACCTTACAATTTATAAGTGCCTTCTATTTAGAAATAAGATGAATCTTTTGAGCTGTTGAGTTTATTTCTATAGGACTACTAGCTGTTTGTTTTTCCCAAATGACTCTCAGTCTCTAGGCAGAATTCAGTTCAGTAACCTAGAGGCCGGATGACCTCATAACTCATTAGCAGCTCTCAGAGCCATCTGGAGCCCTTGAAGAGGGCAGTGTTCAAAGGACTGATAATAAAGACAACAGCATAATTATTTCTCTGCCATGATTACACCTTTAGATGGCAAGCAGTCAGCATATTAATTTGCAGATTGCTTAGGTGGGTATTTTCTGAAGGTATAATAATGCTGGAGTAGGATAACTTGTTTCCCTGTCCTCTTCATCCAGTCTACAAATCAGTAAACTGACTCTCAGTAAGTAACCTAGTGAATCACAAAGTAGCTTGTTGTAAAAAGGACAGTACTGCAAGGAAGTAATATTATGTAAACACAAATGCAAAAGTTACCAGTGCAAAGCATGGGAGGGAAATAGCCATTTGGACTGTGGGCTTTTCTCAACTCCAAGATATATTCTGCCAGTAATGTGCATGGATCTATGTGTGGCTTGCTGTTTTCATTTTTTAAAGTGGTCATGGATAATCTTGGACTTTCTTATTACTAACCTATCTTCCTTCTCATTTTATCTCCTCATTTTCTGTAGTGACCACTCTTCCTTGCTGCTCAGAAATGTCTTCCCTTTCAGAATATGCCTTGCGCATGTCTCGTCTGAGTGCCCGGCTATTTGGTGAAGTCGCCAGGCCTACTGATTCCAAGTCCATGAAAGTGGTGAAACTGTTCAGTGAACAGCCTTTGGCCAAACGGAGGGAGACTTATGACTGGTACCCAAATCACAACACTTACTTTGCACTCATGGGGACACTCCGTTTTCTTGGTCTCTACAGGTAATGACAAAAAACACAAAGACCTGTGTGCTAATTTTCTTTTTTAAATCAGAGTCACACTCTGTCACCCAAGCTGGAGTGCAATGGCTAACAGCCACCACAGCCTCAACCTGCTGGGCTCAGGCATTCCTTCTGCCTTAGCCTTCCAAGTAGCTGGAACTACAGGCGTGCGCCACCACTCCCAGCTAATTTTTCTTGATTTATTATAGAGATGAAGTCTCACCAAGTTGCCCAGGCTGGTCTCTAACCTGTGGGCTCAGTCTATCCTCTCACCTCACCCTCCCAAAGTACTGGGATTATAGGCGTTGTCTATGGCCATACCACCCTGAACATGCCTGATCTCGTCTAATCTCAGAAGCTAAGCAGGGTCAGGCCTGGTTAGTACTTGGACGGGAGATAATTTTTTAAAAAATAAGAGAAGACAAAAGTTAACCTTTCTGTTCTTAAAATTTTGTTATTCTTATAATAGAGCCCAGATAATTCAAAAGGCACAGTTTGCAGAGGAAAGGTTTCTTGCAAAATACTCATAATGGAGAAACCGAGAAAAAAGGAAACTCATGCATGTTGGAAGACATGTTGTAATTATGTCTAAAACGTGACAAATGTTAAATAAACACTGAGTTGTAGAGAAATGTTTATAATGCATTAATCTAACAGCACTCTAAAGGACACAGAGGAAGTCTAAATGCTGAGGAAGAAAACCGGGAACACTGAGACTCTTGTTACTAATGAACAGAGTTCCCACCCTGCACCTGATCTGCCTCTTAGCAGATGTGTGGGAGCCTTCTTTCCTTTCTGGTGGCAGTTATGTTGACATTCTTATTTCCTCCCACTCTCTTTGGCATTTTTATTTTATACCCTTTTTAATACATTAATTTGGTCTAAACTGTAGTTTTTCTTAAGGGTGATTTATAAATGATGCAGGCTGTTAACACACCATGCACTTGCATGTTTGTGTATATCTAGAGTGTAGATGTTTAGGACTATATACCTCTCTAGAAAAAAAATCAAATATAAATTTGATCATTTATTTAACTTTTTTTAAGACACATTCTTTGTTACCCAGGCTGGAGTGCAGTGGTGTGACTGTGGCTTACTGTAACTGCAAACTCCTGGACAAGCGATCCTCCTGCCTCAGTTTCCTGAGTAACTTGGACTATAGGCACATGCTATCACACTGGCTTTTATTTATTTTTTTTTTTTTGTAGAGATAGTGCCTCGCTATGTTGCTAAGGCTGGTCTCAAACTTCTAGCCTCAAGCAGTTCTTTCCCATTAGCCTCCCAGACTGCTGGGATTACAGGCATGAGCCATGGTACCTGGCCATATTTTTTTTTTT